TTCTAACCTTAAGTGTATATGAAACAATGTATAATCCATTACATTTTCAATGACTCTGTATCATGGAAATGATACAGTAAATCTACAATAGATATATGAAAAATGTTTGTTGTAAACTTAAAACATGTAAAATGTTGCCACCATACTGTAAATCATAGAAAACAAATAGGTTTGCAAAAGTAAACATTTCTACAATGAAGAAAAAGTAATACTATGTTTTTCGTGATCTGTGAAATTGCACATATGGGTCTTGTCCACAGGTGCAAGACAGTTCAAATTTTTCTATAGCTTTAAGAAACACTTGATGGCGGCAAGAATTGTATTCGCCAGAGTGTGGAGACAAAAGGTAATACCAACAAAAGAAGAATGGATAGAGAAAATGCTATCCATGGACAAATTAACTTTTTTGACAGCCAAATCACAAGGCAGATGTATCAAAGCAACAGGACTCCTTTTAAAGAATGGCGGAAAGAAAAGAAAAATGTAAATGTAATCTTATGAAAAGTGAAGATTAAAATACCAACGCAGAAAATTCAGGTAGAAGATTAATTGACATTACTGGACTTTTTAATTGCACCATTACAAAGAATAATAATATTAATATTAATAATAATAACAATAATACACTTTATTTATAACCCGCTACCATCTCCCCAAAGGGGACTCAGTGCGGCTAACATGAGGCCAAGCCCAAAATAATACAACATAATAAACACACAGTAACAAAATGCATCATAACAAAATATAAAATAACAAAATCAACAATATAAAAAAACATATTAAAACCAGACACGGAGGATGGGCCAAATGTGTGAGGTAAAATGTTAAAAAAGTTAAAACCTTAGGTGAAATAGGGATAAAAGTGCATTTATAGGAAAGGAGCCCGACAGGGAGGAACCATGGGATTTAGCCATTTTGGGGGGGGGGGGGGGGAGAGAGATGCTTTATTCTGTGGGCAGCTGTAGACTAAGACAACCAGATGGGTTGAATGGTCATTCTGCAAAAGCACAACGGAAGAAGAATGGAAGTACAGCCTCTCACCCCATTACCTACCCTCCCCTTTTTCCCAATCAACTCCTCCCCTACCCCCCCCCCCCAAACTTTCCTAAGATTTACCCTATGTGATATTTTACCCAATGCTGTTCATTTAAAAAACCTTCAATAAAAATTCTGGGAAAAAAGAAACTCTTGATATTAGCCCTGCCCACCGTGCCCTGGAAGATATAGGATATAACATGATTTTAATAATAGTTTTAATACTGCTGTTGTTTTTTGAGCTTAATGCATTTGTTTATTTTTTATTGTATTTATTTATATGTATGGCATTAAATTACTGTCTTTTGTGAGCCGCTCTGAGTCCCCTTGCTGGGGTAAGAAGGGCGAGATATAAATGTAGTAAATCAATAGCCATCAGATGGGGCTAGCATCTGAGTTCATTTTCATCCGCAGTGTTAGCAGCAGCAAGGGATTTCTCTTAAGGTAAATTTCTTTTACATTAAGTTGCAGTTTCTTTTCATATTGACTTTCGGTTTGTTTGACTTTTCTTCTGTTACTCCTACCTGGTGGTTGGCACTCCCCTGCCCAAGGCACTTCGGGGCAGAGGTAATTGGATGGGCTCTGCTCAGGATGTTCCCCTTACCTGGATCATGGCTGACGTCACTTCCCTTCGCCATCATAGGGGTCCAGCATCAGTCATTCTCCCAGCCTTTCTCAGGCATCACCTCAAGACTCCTTGCAGGGAGGCCTCTTATGGCATGGGATCCATAGTGTATATTCCATCTGACTGGCCTCAAGAGGAAGTTTGTTACCCTCTGCTGGCTGCTTCAACTACAATACCTCCGCTCCCTTCCAGGGGCTGCCAACAGGCTAGCAGTAAGCAACCTGGCCAGTCTCACTGAAGAGCTTAGCCTCACCTTCGGGAAGAGCGACAGCCTTCAAATTTTATGGTCCTGCGTCCAGTGCACCCTTAGGTGTTGGTGTTTCCTTTATACCCATTGTGTGCCCAGTGCCTTTTGTGGCCTGTGGTGAGGTTGCTTCATCATGTAAGGACTCTCATTTTCCTCCTTGAAATGTTACCTACTTGTCATCTCTTGGTACAGGCAGAGAGCAGGGCATTTGTCCTATTTTTTTGGGACCCCCTCATTCCTGAAGGGCTTAAGACAATTCACCTGCCAGCACATCCTCCAACTGCAGCAGGGAGTTTGGAGTTCATCTTGTCCCAACTATCGAACCCCCCTTTCGAGCCCATGGCACTGGCAGAGCTTTCCCACCTTTCCTGGAAAATTGCATTCCTTGTCGCCGTTACATCAGAACAATGAGCCAGCGAGCTTTGTGCTCTCTGTTCAGATTACCCTTACCTTTGTTTCCATAGGATAAGGTGGTTCTCTGAACAACATTGCCCTTCTATCCAAGGTGATTTCCCATGTTCATATATGTCAAGATGTGGTTTTTCTGGTTTTTTCCCCAGAATCCTACTCCTCTGGAGCACTCCCTCCATATTTTGGACGTAGAGCAGGCTCTAGTCCTTACATCAACCGCATGCCTGCCTACAAGAAATCTCCTAGGGGGTTTTCTCTGTGATATTGCTAGGATGATTCAGTCTCTTCACAGTGTTTTCCCTCGTCAATCATTTCAGTGATCCAGCTGGCCTGCCAACTCACAGACAGACTCCTTCCATCCCAAATCAGGTCATTCAGCAACAGCTGTTGCTGCCTTTTAGGCCTTCCTATATGGAGTACTCCAAACATGTTTCACCTGGCAGCACTGTGGTCAACTTCACTCACTTTGTGTCCCACTGCAAGTGGGATGATTTCTCTAGGAGGGATGCTGCCTTGGCAAAGCTGTGCTTGTTTCCTGTGGGGCATGACTCTCTCCTCCAAGGTGGGAAGCTCTCTAGTCACCCATATGTGTGATTTCACTGAGACCACGAAGGTTTTGTTGTTTACCTGTAACTGTTTATTTGGGTGATAATCTGTGAAATTCACACAGATTATCACCCAAAGGGCATATTCTCCCCATCATGTCTCGGTTTCTATAAGCTGCTGTCATAATGGCCGAGGAATTGAGATGTTAGCCCCAACTGATGGTTATATCCTCCAGGATAGGTTGGGCAGGGCTACCACCAAGAGTTTCTTAAAGCTATAGAGAAATCTAAGTTGTTTTGCATCTGTGCACAAGACCCATACATGTGAATTTCATAGATGATCACTCAAAGAAACATGGTTACAGGTAAGCAACCAAAACTTATTAAGGGATATATTTACACAATATGACTCCAAATGATGCGAGAACACTAATGTGAAAAGGGTTATCCAGTGTTTATTAATTTAAGGAGATACATGTATCCTTATAAATGAAAACTATGAAGATATGCTCTTTAGCATAGACAGTTGTTTCCCCAAAATAAATAAATCACTCATTTATTTATTTTCCTTAGAGGTAGGTTAACAGGATTGATGACTTTTTTTCATTCTAGAGATGATGATGATAATGATTGTTAGATATTTTAAGGAGTAGATTTGGCTTAAATTATTAAATTATGCTACATGTTATATTGGTATGATCAACTTACATAATATACTTTTGTACAGATATTCTGGATTCTCCCAGTAAAATTAGAGACATTATGTTGGATGATAATAAATATTTTCTTTGGTCTAGTTATTTATTATTATTATTATTATTATTATTATTATTATTATTATTATTATTATATTTGATGCTTTTATCCTATTACTCACATGGATTGACAGAGCAGCCTTGTTGAGCTGTTTAAACCCGCCATTTGCAAGATAAGTAGTAGAGATTTAAAAGGATAACGTACCCAGTTAATTTTTTTTCCAGACCAGCACACAGCATGTCTAACTATACCCTTTTGCCTTCTCAGATGGTTGCTTAACAGGAAGTGATCAGGTGAAGCAATGGAAGTTCTACATTAGCTGAAAAATGGCTAGAATAACCCAAATTAATTCAATTTTATTGCTAGAATAGTCTGGGCCTTGGTCTCGATGGACAGAGCTGGAATCAAAACTTCTTCTCTTTGAAGGCCTGCAGCGTGCTTTTGCTTAAAATAAAGTAGTAGTCAATGTATTGTCGAAAGCTTTATGGCTGGAATCACTGGGTTGTTTTAGGTTATTCTTTTTTTTTTTGGCTGTATGGCCATGTTCTAGAAGCAGTCTCTCCTGACATTTCACCTACATCTATGGCAGGCATCCACACAACCTCTGAGGATCCCTGCCACAGATGCAAACAAAATGTCAGGAGAGAATGCTTCTAGAACATGGTCATATAGCCCAAAAAACCTACAGCAACCCAAAATAGGGTCCCTAAGAGAGGCATCTTCTGAATCATATCTATGGATCAGAGCTTGAACAAGTTACTGTTTTAGGGTTGCAATTCTCAATACTTCCAGTCATATACTGGGTGGAGTTATAGGGGAGTTAATGTTTTTCTTTAAAAATTGCTGCCTTGAAAAATGCTATCGATCTCTTCCACCGTTCTTAATCTATTTTAGGACTGAGACATACGATGTGTTATGTGTGTAAGATTGCACTGATATTCACAATCTTAATGCATATTTGAAAATTCAGACTAATTATATGGCAAGGTGTGTAATAATCAAATGGTTTCCAAACTATTTGCCTTTCACTCGCCACCTTTACACTCACAACATATTGAACTTAAATTGTAGTCCCCAACCAGAAGAGTTTGGTGTGTCCATCAATGAAATATATACAATTTTGTAAAGCCTAACATCAGAAGTGGTTGGTTGTTGAATTTTAACAATTCTGTAATACATATATTTTTGATTTACTCATGAAAGAGAAATACCAAGCAAGTTTTGTGATGAAGAACTATTCCACAGACATTTATATTTTAGGCTAACCTGCATGCTCTTTAGTCATTTTCTTTCTGACCCTAGCGAGAGACAGAAATATTAAGACTTCAGTACTGACCTTTTCTTTGAATCTACAGCAGCATTTTATTTTTGTCTTGTCTAGGTACCTGAATGGAGTGATAAAAAATGCAGCTGCTCCTGTACTATTGGAAATGGCGAATGAGGTAATAGCTTTTGTAAAAAGTCTTTTTAAAATAAAAGCAATTATTATTATTATTATTATTATTATTATTATTATTTGCTTCACTTTTATACCGCATTTTTCAGCCCTTGACAGGCGACTCAATGCGGTTTACAGTGCAATTAAAACACAGCAGTACAACAACAGGGACGACAACGTCGCTCCACAACAATTAACATCAGACAAGACAAATCAACAAACAACATATATAACGCCTCCGATTAAAGTCAGATCCATTCTCATAGTCATTGTGCCGTTCCTATGTTCAATTACCGTCTTCCTTAATTAGTTGCATTGCCTAACCAAACGCTTGTTCGTAAAGCCAGGTCTTGACCATTCTCCGAAACGTCAGCAACGAAGGTGCCTGTCTGATGTCTGCTGGCAAGGCATTCCATAGCCGAGGGGCCACCACTGAGAAGGCCCTGTCTCTCGTCCCCGCCAAGCGCACCTGTGACGCAGGCGGGATCGAGAGCAGGGCCTCCCCAGACGATCTTAATGTTCTGGTCGGTTCATAGGTGGAGATGCGTTCGGAGAGGTAAGCGGGCCAGAACCGTTTAGGGCTTTGTAGGCTAATGCCAGCACCTTGAATTGTGCCCGGTAGCAAATTGGCAGCCAGTGAAGCTGGCTCAGCAGAGGAGTGGTATGCTCCCTGAGTGCCGCTCCTGTTACCAACCTGGCTGCCGAGCGCTGGACCATCTGAAGCTTCCGGGCAGTCTTCAAGGGCAGCCCCACGTAGAGCGCGTTGCAGTAATCAATCCGGGATGTAACCAGAGCGTGGACCACCGTGGCCAAGTCCGACTTCCCAAGGTACGGGCGCAGCTGGCGCACAAGTTTGAGTTGTGCAAATGCTCCCCTGGACACCGCCGAGACCTGGGGTTCCAAG